ATCAAATGCAGGCTGTTTTTGTCAGATTCAACATTTTCACTTCAGACTTGATGGGAATCGCCAGACGAGACTACGGAGCCGAGTCTTTCTTCCAGATCTATATCTACGCTGATGCGAAGAACACTTCGAGGAATACATTGTTTGTGAGTGCATAGTGAAGCCATTCAGTTTCGGAATCGAAATGAAGGTGTCTAGGTCGATCAAGCTTCTCTATCGCTTGGGCAGAGGAGCAAGAGACTACTATCTCAACAGCACCATGTTTGCGAACCATATGGTGGCATACAAGAAGTATTTCTTCGAGGTAAGGCGCAGGATATTTGATGATCCAATGTAATTAATGTGGTACATACAATTTATACAGTACTGTTTTCCCTGAAGTTTCTCGCTTTATTGCTAGTTCTCTTTGGCAGTTTCCAAAGGTGAAATCTATCATGAAAACCAGTCCGTTGAACATATATCAATGCAGAGGTATGGAGAAAAACTAAGAAAAATGGCCTAGAACCTGAGAAATTGAACCACCTTTTACTCGTTAAGCTGCGTGTTAGGCGAGTCTCATCGGTGCTGCCCTAGCGCCCTATCTGTGAAGCGGCTAGAGTCAGACGGAGGGGCAGCCCATTCAATGGTGTGGCAGCGGCGCGATCGGGAGAGTTCGGCCCTGCTAGGCCACTGGGACATGACCTTTGCAAAATGCGCAACATTAGGCACCTTAGGGGCTCTCTGCCTTTTCACTGAGTACATTCCCCTTCTTCTAGAATCTTCCGCTGATTGCCAAGTGATTTATTATATCAAGCGCAATGTGAAAAGCAATTGAATTAAACACTTTGTCAGGTGGAAGGACGAATTCACGATGAAAAGGCAACCCATTTCAAATTAACTTAGAGATGGTGAGTGGTACACGAAAGAAGGAAAAACCAGAAAAACGGCCCAGAACCCGAGAAATGGGACCCTTCCTTGCCCGTTGATTTGCGCATTGATGCGACTCTCATCGGTGCTACTCATCCCTCATCCCTCAACGCTAACGCTCTGTGCTTAACGGCTACAGGGAGGGGGCGTACACTAACAGCCACGCACAGAAAGCACTGCTAGATGCCGGGCATATCCTTCGATGCGAATTGCATGTCGGTCTGCACCCTTAGGCAATCAGCCTGTCTCTTCATGATCTTCCCTTATTCGACCTTCGTCCTTATTGAGGAATTCCACCTTACACGAGTGAGACGACGACGTTTTGGCATGCTGATAAAATCCTACAGCAGGATTCTGATTACCTTCTCAATTTTTTTCTGATTTCCAGCTTTGAATTGAAAGGCAAAAGTCGGGCTCAATAAGGGGTATTATGGCGATTGAAACTGAGTATAGAGATGCGAAGTGGAACGACAGTGGAGAAAAAACTGAGAAAAACCGTCGACAAGGCCGAAAACAAACCCCTTTCCCACTAGCAGTGAAGGAGGCTTGCTTGGGGAGAGCACGTCCAAACGAGTTTTCCGGATATGCCAGCCGTTCCATCGGTTGATACGGCAATCAACCTAGCTGATCTTCACACGCCAGCCACGCACCACATCCCGCGGTGGGCGGGATAGCTGATGCAACGAACCCATCGCTGTAAGTAGTAGGCCAGAGGCCTTGTCGCCGCGCAATCTCGAGTCAGGAGCGTGGCGTCACCCTTCTGAGTTCCAGGCCATATTAGTGATGGAAAGGCTTTCTCACCTTATACAAACTGACTTGTGGCTTTAATTATCTCTAATTATCTATCGCCGTTCCCAAAGAACCCCTCTGGGAACGGGTGCACAGCGCATTTAGTGTGGGCTTGAAACCCAGGGCATCGTGGGGCAGTTCGAAATCGCGACCTGCATTTCCTCCCCTCCGGCCTAACTTGTGGAAATTTTGGTGATCTGCCTTTCGAAAATGCCGCATCAAAAGTATCGCAAATTCTGCGAAAGTGATGACATGGTTAGATAAGCGAGAAACACGCTCCTCATCGGTATGTAAAAATTCAATTATTCACCCGAAAATAATTCAGAAACACAGAAATAATAAGTACCTGGAATGAGCTGCCATGGCCGGCTTATGGTTTGCATTCCGGGCGACCCAATCTATTCTTGTAGGACGTGGGCCTTGGTATCATACAGAATTTCGAAAGGCTCATGCGGTCATAGTAGAGTTCTTCTAAAGAAATTGCAAGAGCGGAGAAAACTTGAAGTGAAATTCAGATTGTTAAAATACTTCAAGAGGATGCCAACGTGCATCATGACCAGGCGTCCGTTGAAGCCAACATCGATGCGGTGATTGCTTTCGAGAAGAAATTGGCTGAGGTAAGTAAAACTTTTAGTTCACTCACTACTAAATATCCTACCATACACACAGGTAATAGGGTTCCTCTGGGGTCGTTTTATCAAAACAGGTTTGCCTGGAAGGACACAACACACTGACCCGTACACTGCCTTACTCCTTCAAGTCATTGTTAAGACCAAGTCACATTCAAAATATCACCACAATTCTGAATGGAAGTATTACAATACTTTCTCAACGGCCTTTCATGGCTTTAAGTTCCTAATCATTTACGGACAAACTCCGCAATTCTACAGCGCACAACTATGTAGCTTTGCCTATTGCTTGCGCATAGGCGTTCGCAGCTGAGCGATCACGGCTGGGCAAAATGAAGTTCACCCGTACTGAAACACGCTGATGCTGAGAAGCGGGATTCGAAGCGCCTATAGATGATGCGGTAACTAGAGGGTTTATCAACATCTTATTGCTCAGTAACTCCGAAAATCAACTGAATTAACCTGTATCTTTGAACAAGTAATTTTGGTGCACCCTGTAGAACGTGCGGCGCCTCCCAAAAGCGTAGTTTCTGGTAATGAATAATGATAGCATCACCTATTGCTTTCATTCGTTACCAGAAGCGATATCAGCCGATATGATTGGAAAATAGTACAGGGT